CCGGGCCCCCCTCTTTCCCATTTCCTTCCAGTTCCTTAGAGACAAGGACTCTGGCTTTCAGTGAGGGCAGCTGCACCCTTCACTCTCCTCATTTTGCTCAGGGAGGGCAGGGGTGGTGGGAGGGAGCCTGGGCCACAGCTCCGACAGTCTAGCTGGGCCAGGTTAGGACAGCTCCTGTCTGACATGGAAGGGCTGGCTTTAAAAACTGCTGCCAAGACAAGATGCTAACACAAGTGGGTAAATAATGTGCCTTGTGAATCCCTACCACCCACTTGACCAATGTCTGTGCTCTTAGACTTAACATTTTCAAAGAACTTAACTCTGCCATGCACTGTGCCAAACCCTTACATACGTCATCTTGCTAGGTTCCTAAATCCCCAAGAAATTTCCACATTTTAAAGATGAGGTAACTGAGGCCCAGAGAGACTGAGTAACCTGCCCATTGCCCAAGGTCATGCAACTCACTCTTGGAGGAGCCGTTATCCATCCCAGGCAGGCTGGCCCAGAGCCTACACACCTCCCAGCTCTATACGACGAGCTTCCTTCCCTGCCCTGCTCCCCTCCACATACACTTCCTTTCTCTCCTGCCCTGTCCATATGTGTTGTTTTTTTTTCAGGTCAGCTGAGCCTGTAAGAACTTGTTGGGTATCTTCCCTAATCTGCCCATTAAATGCTAGCTGAGGAAAATTAAACCTGGGCCCAGGACCTGAAGGAGAATCAGGACCCCAGAGGTGCTGCTCTCAGCTGTTCACTCTGCATCCCTTGTCCACAATCCCCTGCCCCAGCCTCAGTGTCCCTAATTGGAGCAGAGGAGGGTTCCCTTCAGGGGCCATGAGATGAGTTGAGAGGAACTGTAATCCCCTCCTTGAGGGATGCAGCCATTTATTAAAAAGGCAGCTTTGGAGGTCACCCTCTCTCTTGCTCCTGCACTGCATGCATAGAGGAGAAGGGCCAGGTTCTCCTCACCTTCATCCTCCAAGTGAAGACTGACTAAGCAGTTCCTCTGCAGCTGAGTTAAGGAGGGAGGGAGGAGGCTCAGCCAGTTTGCTAGCAATAATCTAAATGCATCGCAAACCCCATTTAGCTCCTGCTAGGAACCCAGAGGGAATAAGAGGTTATTCCTGAAGCTTCCTTCAGCCTCTAACAAACTGTCATGGGGTGGATGTGATCACAGGGCCCTTCTATGTTGCCAACTTCTGGGGCAGTTGGGGCTGGGAGTGGGTAAGGAATTCAGTCTTGACCTAGGGCAGAATATTCTGAGAAGTTCTACAAACCCAGAGTTTTGTTACAACTATTCTGAAGAACGCTTCACTTAAGAGAAATCAGGGACATCTGCTGCCTTTCCTCACACTACTGACCAAAAGAACATGATGCACAGTTAACAATGGAGCAGGGAAGGCAAGCAGGAAGGCTGACTCAGGGGTCCCCTCACAAATGCTACAGGACCCCCAGCTAACACTCGAGCCTGGTGAGTGTAGATGCGCTTCCACTGCCCAAGGTTGCTTAGGCTTTGCCATTCTTTTATATCAAGAACTTTGTGAGGTTTATCTGAAAGCCACTTTGAGATGAAGAAGGAAGAACCATAACATGGGAAATCCTAGAAAGGGTCCAAGTATCAAATATTTTAAAATTCTAGTGTTTACAAAGTGGTACTCACTTGGGATTGAAAGCAGCCAAGTCAGTGTGTGCAGCATCCATAAACAGAATACAAATCAGTTACAATGGAAACAAGATTAGATTAAAAAGCGTGCCCCGAAACAAGCTCTGACTAATAAAGAGTGACAAAGAGTGATAGTGTGCCACAGTCAAACTGGGTTTTGCAGTAACACTAGGATTATGGAACAGTTAGTAAACGAGTGGCCCATGGACTGGGAAAGAAACCCTCCTAGTTAGCTCCCCCCTCCCCAGTCTCCTAAACATCTAGAATTTTCCCTTTCATATTCTCCCAATCAAAACTAACTTGTCCTGTTTCCAGTTCCTTTACTCTCCATGAAGAAACTGAAAACCTAATCTCACTATGGCTAGTTGCTAATAATGACTCAGTTTAATAGAGCAGTAGTTCTCAAACTTAAGCATACACGAGAAACACCCAGAAGGCTTGTTAATATACAGCTGTTTCTATCCCAGAGTTTCTGATTCAGCAGGTCTGGGGTGGGGCCTGAGAATTTGCATTTCTAACAAGTTCCCAGATAGTTCTGATGCTTCTTCCAGGGACCAACTTTGAGAATCATGGCAATAGCATGACCCAAAAGAATGAGGTGACATTAGGCACCTGGGCAAGGCCAGAGGGGACATTATTTGGAGGTAGGTGGATCCTATTATAGTTCTCAAATCCTACCTGATGTGCCCTGTTCCTAGGGAACCCCTATGTTTGGTTTCTCCTGTGGACAGATGATTCCCAGAATGGCCAAAGTTCCACATATGACCCTAGACTTTGGACCATTTCTGAAAGAAATTAAGGATGTGTACTTCCAAAAGCCATGTTTGTGGGAACATTTGTGTTCAGTGCAATGGATCTGTAGTCCAGAGGGTGTGAGCAGAAAACAAAAGTGCCCTGACGGGGCTTAGTCCACAGAGATGGGATTTGCTCTACAGTGTGATGACAAGAGCCTGCAGGTAGGATCTCCTCACTCCCCTGGGCAAGCAACATGCTCTGGCTCAGGACAACAGACAGCTTCACCTACTGCTGGGTTTTAATGAAATAACTCAAAATGAATTATAGAAAAGAAAAGAAGAGAAAAAATTTGTCTTGATATCTTTACAAATTCAGAGCAGTGACAGAGGGTGAGAGGGTACAACCAAAACTATGTTCCCTGATGTCAGAACAACTTTATCTTTACAAGGCCTAGTCTAAAGTAGAGTGCACAATAATTGTGCAACAAATATTTTTGGTCGACTCATCAATATTTTTTATCAGTTGTATGCATTAAGGTGCTGAACAACGTGGTAACTACTTATGTGAAATGCCAACTGAATCTGAGTATAGGTATGAAAACCTCACAAGCGTTCCATGAGACTGGAAGGGCCAGCATTGATATCCTCTAGGGAAACTAACGTTTGGTGTGACCTTGGGTGTCTCTGGACCTCAGTTTTCTCTGTCAGTCCAGCCTGGTGGTGCTAAGAGGTATGTGGATGGCTCTCTAGCCTCTGCTCTATAGCATCCTGGGCACTCTGAGCACGTCCCACTGAAAGCTCTTAGGGGCATGATTCTGACTGTGAAAGAGGCCAGTGGTTCAGCTATGGAAAGTCCTAACTTTACAGATGACACTTTTTTGGTCAGAAAGGGACTTCACAGGAATGGGTTGACCATTTGGTTGATTCAGTCTCCAACCCAGCACAGGGATCCTTTTTACGATACGTCTGGCAGATGGCTATCCAGGTAGTGTCCAAGAAGCTTGCTACCACCCAAGGGGGCCAATACCTCTCAGGGTGGTGGCTTCCACCACTGTTAAGATATAACTTGAATTCAGCCAGCGTTTGGCTCCTGGAGATTTTGTCCTTCAGCCCTCATTCTGCATCTTATAGTTACACAGGGTGAATCTGGCCCCTCTGTGTCATGACAGACTTTCTCTCATACCTCTCTAAAAGCCTGGATAACCCCAGGTTCTCTAACTATTCTTTAATGACATAGTTGCCAGGTCCTCCTCCACCCTGACTAGTCCTCCACCCTGGACATGTCCCCATCTGTAGGGATGTTCATCCCTCTGGTGTGAACACACTGGCAGTGATGTGTCAGGGAGAACTCATGGTGTCATGTGCTCATGGAGCTGGGAGGGACTTTAGGCTCCATCAGGTCTACCTCTGGCCTAGAGCAGGCCTCTGGCCTGAGTAGCATTTCTGACTGGTGTGGCCTCCACATTACTCCAAACTGAGGCCAAGCATGCCTTCTTCCCTTCCTGGGATATCACTATCACTTCTTCCTCCTGACTATGACCCTGGGCTCTGGTATTGTGATCCTCATTAGAGTTCTTGTCCCCTTGATTTCCTTCCAAAAACTGGTTTAAGACCCTGTATTTGCTCCTTTGGGACAGAAAGTCCTTGGCTGAACAGCCCCTCCCAAGCAGGCTCATGCTCCTGCATTTGAGTAGACAATGGGGTGGAGGGGAGAGGCAGAGGGGGAGTGGGTGTTAGAGGGGAGTGGGTAGTGGGTGGGGGCCTAGGGCACCTCTGGGTTTACCGGTCACCTGTGTCGGGGGCGACGCACTCGCATTTGTAGATGGTGATAGAGTCAGGCTTAAAGTTCATGTTGATGGGGTAGTACTTGAAGGCACCAATCATCTTCTTAATGGCATCATAGATGAAGATGAAACTGATGAGGGTGGAGAAGCCCTCCTCAGTGAAGCGGGTGATATACTTGATGATAAAGCTGGCATCTGTGGCCACCAGGATAAGGCACTGGACAGCTGAGTGTAGGCCAATCCAGAGGCGGAACTCCATGTAGTCCAGGCCATTGCCTCTGGAAAGCAGAGGGAATCGAAGGGCCTCCAGCCCAAGGCTCTTGGCTGTGCTTGGCTCCCCAGACCCACCCTGGGTGCCTCATCTGCCCTTCCTGTGGCACAGATGCCCTTCTAGGAAGTACAAGAGGACTGGGGATGGGGACAGTTCCCGGGTGGGGTTGTCTGGTCTTTGAGAATTCCGGGAAAGTCTCCCATGGGGTGGCAGAAAGGTGCTCACACACTTCGGTTCTTACACATTTGGTAACAAACACCAGAGTGAATGAAAAACAGGGAATTTCAGAATGACACAGCTGGAGCAGACCTTAGAAATGGGCTCATGCTGTAGGTGAGGCAACTGACCCCAGAGCTGCATGAGTCAGGGTATAGCCTTCTGACCTCCAGCTTGAAACTTTTTATACACTGCATTGACTTTCAAGTCATAATTGCTCATGAGCAGAGCAGTGGGAATTCTCTCCTATTGTCTTGCCTGGATTTCTCCCCATGGGCTGTGCTAATATGCACTAAGGTGGCTTAAAGGCAGATATCGGAGGGAGTCAGGAGGGACCACCTGGCAGTGCCTCCTACAGGTAAAGACAGCTTTGGTACCTTCTCACCCCACCTCCCCCTTGGGGCTCTTCCCCTACCCCAACCTTGGCATACTGTCCTAAGTGTGAGAGCAGGCACTGGGGGCCACCAAGGGCACCTACTTGCTGAAGTCGAAGAGGAGCTTCTCGAAGATGAGGATGGGCCCTGTGCTGCTGAGGATGATGAGAGGCTGTCCCGAGAAGAGGCAGAACAAGGAGCCAGCCATGGCAGTGCCCAGGAAACTCTCCATTACTCCCTGGGGGCATGAGGAGTGTTAGGCTCAGTAGAGGTGTGAGAAAGGGGCCTCTCTGACAGGTTAGAACCCAGTTATCTCAGCAAGATAATGCTGAGATAATTTTTTCACAATGCTTTCACAATAATTTTCACAATGCTCGTCCTTTATCCTAGGTCCTCTCCTCCTCAAATTCTGCTCCCCATCTCTGGCTCCACAACCTCTCACAATCGCCAAGCATCACTCTCTAATTCTAGTCCCATGTGACTTCCTTTTGGCACCCTAGGGCCTAGAAAACAGGGCTGCCAATGGTCGTGCTTGTTCCTGTGCCCATTCTACTCCCAGAGGACAGTCCATTCATCTACCCAATCATTTATTAATTCAAAGATCTAGTAGGTGCTTTTAGAGGTCAGACCATTCATTCATTCATTCATTCATTCAAAAATCTATTAAGGACCTACTATGTATCAGGCATTGTGCTAGACATTGAGGACCCATGAACAAACAAGTAATGCATCTTCATTCTAGTGGGAGATACACACAAGAAACTAGGTGATTTCTATACAGCAGAGTTTCTTAACCTCAGCACTACTGACATTTCAGGCTATATAATTCTTTGTTGTAGGGGGCTATCCTGTGCATTGTAGGATGTTTATTAGCATCTCAGTAGCACCTCACCTCCCAGTTATAAAAGCTCAAACTGTCTCTAGATACTACCCAATGTCTCCTAGGGGTCAAAATCGTCTCTTGTTAAGAACCACTGCCAAGAAATATGATAAGCTGGGATAAGGTAGGAGCACACAGTAAGAGTGAAGGGTTGGTCAGGAAAGCCTCCCAAGAGGTAGATACATGGAAGCTGAGAACCAAAAAATGAGCAGAGAATTGACCAGGAGAATAGGGTAAGTGGATGAGAAAGAGTGTGCCGGGAAGGGCAACAGTATTCACAAAGGCTGGAGCTGAAAGGGAACACGTCTTTGAAGAACTGAAAGATGATCAGGATTGATGGAAAACAGAATGAAGATGAGTGAGGAGGACAGGAATCTGAGAAAGGGAATACTGGGAGATGAGGCTTGAGAGACAAGTAGGACCATGTCATGAGGGCTACTGGGGGAAGCTGGGATTTATGAGTCAAGGATGATGTGTGAATATCTGGGTCAACCATGGTGTCCCTAATTGGCTGGGGGGAGCAGCAGGTCTGGAGGGAAGGTAATGGATGCAGTGTTGGCCCTGTGAGTTCGGGGATCCCAAAGGGCAGCTATATGGACATGCCCAGGAGGCAGCCGGATATTGAACCTGCTGCTCAGGAGAGTGGTGTGGGCTGGAGATAGGCACTCATCTTAATTTATCTGGGAAAATGGGTCTTCATCTTGGTGCTCTGAGCTTTCCAGTGATACTATCCCAAAGGGCCCCAATGGAGAAGACCCTTGTCTGGGTCTCAGGCTAGTGTCTCTGCTGAGCTGTTTTCCCCAGGTATACCTGTGTTGTTGTCATGGTAGACATTTCTAAAAATGTCTTAAATTCAAGCTAAGAATTTAAGGTTAGTTTTTTTAAAAGTATGGGAAGAAGGTCACAATTAGCAACTCAATTAATTGTGCTCATTAAGTTCATTAAAGCATCAGTAGGAAAAGTTTCAACTAACAAAGCAGATGATTTCCCCTTAAACATTTGCTCTATTTATATAATCTTTAAATTTGGTCTTTAGTAATATGATTTAGCTTTAGACCTTTTAATTATGCCAGCTTGTTATTATTTTTCTCAAGGGTAAAGGATTACAAAAAGTGATGGTCTGAACCTGGATGGTAGGTCAAACCCAAACCTTGGTTTTGGGATTATGGGAATAAGCTCCTTACCACTACCTGGTGGCAGCAGATTTTTCTGAGGTTTGCATGCATGTCCCCAGCTCACACACACCTGATAATTGTCAGTGGCATCCCCCAGAAGCCCACCAAAGGTGATTGCGTTGGTAATGCAGCCGAGGTAGATGAATAGGATGGCAGAGATGGACTGAATGTGGAAGCCATCGTAGAAGTCACTTGGGAACCAGGGCAGCTTCCTCTTGACATCCAGACACAGGCCACCGAAGAACCTGCTCAAGACAGGCCCAGATACTGCTTTCTCACCACAGACACCAGTGCAGGGGCAGAGCTATTTACAGGAGCCTGCAGAGTCTGCAGTGAGGAGGGGAACTTGACTAGGGGTGGATGGGGAAAGGGATCTTTCCACCAGAACATTTAAGACCAGGGGAAGAATTCTGTCATTAGACTGAGTTTGTGGTTGGCACCATCTCCACTGGGAAGGGTGGTCACAGACAGCCTGGGTGGGAGAGGAAAGGACTTATGGGAATATATATTGGGGTAGACCTAACATTCCACAGGGAATGGAAATCCTGGGGACCATAGGTGGCTATCCTCCTCAAGTCCCTGATCATCCGCAGGGTGCCTGTGCTTGGTAAACATAGGTGTGTCCAACTTTAGGAGATGGAGAGATCCTGGTTTATAACAGGTTCATCAAGGGCAGATTCTGAACCTTATAACTGGTTTCCTTGCTTTGTGGAACAAACAAGTGGGGAATTTTAGGTTTAGGGAGACTGTTTACTGGGGATGCTAGACTCCATAGCTCCTAACACAGTGTTTAGCATAGAGCAGGTTTTCTCAACCTTGGTACTGTTGACATTTTGGACTGGATAATTCTTTGTTGGGGGGAGGGCAGTCCTGTGCACTGGAGGATGTTGAGCAGCATCCCTGGTCTCTATCTGCTAGATACCAGTAGCATCTCCCCTCCATCTGGGACAAACAAAAATGTCTCTGAACATTGCCAAATGTCCCCTGGGTGAGGATGGGAGTGGGGAGTAGATAAAGTTGGGAACCACTGGCGGGCAGAGAGTCAAGGGCATAAAAAACATGACTCGTTCTCAAAGTTATGATTTACACATAGCTCTGCAGGGCTGTGTCCTTTCCTAAATTCAGATCTACCCAAGTTATTCTAAGAGCTGGCAAAGAAACGAAAGCCAGGAACATTTTCTATTGTTTTCTTTTAAAACAAGTTTTTTGACTAGGTGACGAAAGGTTAAAAAAATTCAAAAGGTATTCTTATGGATTGAATTATGTCCCCCAAAAAGATATATCAAAATTCTAACCTGTAAATGTGACCTTATTTTGTACATGTAATCAAGTTAAGATGAATTCATTAGGGTGGGCCCTAATCCAATATGACTGGTGTCCTCATAAGAAGAGGAAAATGCTATATGAAGACAGAAACACAGGAAGAACACCACCTGAGGACACAGACAGAGATGGGAATGGTGCAGCTGCAAGCCAAGGAACACCAAGGACTGCTGGCTACCACCAGAAGCTACAGAGAGGCAAGGAAGGATTCCACCCAGCATCTCAGAGGGAGGATGGCCCTGCTGACACCTTGATTTGGAAATTCTAGACTCTAGAACTGTGAGAGAATAAATTTCTATTGTTTAAACCACCCAGTCTGTGATACTTTGTTTCCACAGCCCTAGGAAACTAATACAGGTAACAAAGGGTGTCCTGAGAAAAGTTTGGGTTCCTCCTCTAGCTTCCCCCTTCCTGCCAGATCCAGGAGGGGCTTTGAGGTCTGGGGAGGAAAAGCGTTCATTGGCCAGATCCCAAGGCCAGGAGTGGGTGCTGCTGACAGAGGTGGAGAAGGTTCCTAAATGGTGGGTGAGGAGAAGAGAAATCTAAGACAACTGGTGTCGCTGTCAGGCCTGGAGTGGGCACCTTCCTGTCCAGATGAGCTCTTCCCCGATCTCGTGCACGGTTGGCATCTCTCCATCATCCCCACTGCTCCCTCCGCCGGCCCCACTGCCGCCGCCACCTGCAGCGCCGCCGCCTCCAGCCCCTCCGCCGCTTCCAGTCACAGAGCCGTTCATCTGACCTAGCTCAGTCAAGGAGAACACGGATTTCCTGGAAGGAGAAGGGCGACAGGGGACAGTGGGGCTCCCAATCCTAGGAAGAGATCAGCACCTCCAGGACTGTCGTCACAACTCCTTTACCTTTCCAACTAACATCATCAAATATCTTAAAATACAGAGAAAAATGCAGAGAATGATCTAGCAACACCCACACACAGGTCACCCAGGTTTTACAGATGGTCACATTCAGCATATTTGCTTCTGATTTTTTTTTTTTCAGAGAAATAAAGTGAGACTGAAAAGAAAAATTATAAACCCATGTACACTGACATCTCTTTCAAATCCAGAAAAAGAAACGGACAGACTGAAAGCTCCCTCTGACCCGGCTCCCTGCTTGCCACCCCTTCATTCATACACACCTCTTGTCAGCAGAAGTCACCTTCTTGGGTGGCTCAATTCGGATATTTGGATCCCACTCTCCAGGGGGGAGCACGATGACCTCGTCTAGAAACTCATCAATCCCCGCGATCAGATCCTCCCGATTCCTGGCCTTGTAGGCCACGTCGCTGAAGAGCTGGCAGGGAAAGATGCAGAGGAAGAGAAAGGGCCGCTCTCTTGCTGCGGTCCTCATCTCATCCACCTCCCGGGGGCACGCCACATACACTTTCAAAGAAAGTCACTTTGAACCATTACTCCACCTGCCAATTTGTTCTCAGTTTCTGAGATGAGAACAACGGGGCAGTTGAAACATAGCACAGTGGGGACAGTGGGACATGCAGCAAGGCGGCTCTTCCTGGACCTGAAGGCCAGGTCTCTGTATTCCAGTTGTCTGACCTGGGTTGAGTTACTTACTTAACCTTTCTGCTCTCAGTTTCCCACAGAGCAAGCTCATCAGAAAACCTGTGCAGAGCCAAGTCGGAGAAGCTCAGGTATTTCAAATCTGTTTTAACATCCCAGCCCTTCATCTTTGGAGGGTCAGGCTGCATCATTCCACACTGTCTCCAGAGGGTTCTTTCTGACTTTACAGATCTGATTGGGTTGTGCTCGTGTTTAAACTCCTCTAGGCTCCCTGTCACATAGTGTCAACTCTCAGCTCTGCCTACAGGCTCCATATAGTATATGGCTCCTCTCTCTGGTGTTACCTCCTGCTCTTGAAGCTCTTACACTGAGCCTATATCAAACCACTTCCATCCAGCCCCTCCCTCTCCAAACCGTGGCCCTTTGCCTGGAATGCCTGCCTCCTAGGCTGGTGCTCATCCTTAGCTTTAAAGCCCCCTTGTGTGTGAAGGGCCCATTGGCTGCCTGGGCAGTTAGCACATGGTTCACTCTAGGATTGTAGGTCTATCTCTCCCACTTGATTGGTGCTCCTAAAGGGCAGTGACTATTCCCTCATTCTCATAATCCTCACACCCTGCACAGGGTCTGACATACAGTAGGTGCTCAAACGTGACTTGTTGGATAAGTGAATGAATGAAGGCACAGTGTTTGACGCAGGAGCCATGACATTCAGGAGTACATGCTTCTCGTGGCACTTACGTCATCTACCATGAGGGTTGCAATGGCACGGCCAATTTCGTTGTAGGATTTTGCTCTCCCAGAAGGTCCCAGCAGTATGAACAGAAATCTGCAAAGAAGATGGAGGAGGAGGGGGAAAGTGAGAAGGAAAAGTAAAAGCAGGTGGAGAGAAGGATTTTCTGGCCCTAAATAGTATCCATTCTTCATTTTTTAACTGGGCAGAAACATGTCCCTTCCCTCCTCTGAATCCCGTATTTGCTTTGGAGAGACCTTCCTCTTCACTCCCACCTGAGCACCTTTGCCACGCCCTGGCATCCCAGAGCTCACCCAGCAGCGCCTCTCCCAGCTGCTGGCTACTTCTTGTTTATGATTATTTTAAATAAATTCCCTCAAATTCTTCCTGAGTCAGATTGCCATCCCCATACAACTCCCTACTTTTCCTTCTTCGATTTAGGGATGTCTCCAACTGCACTACTAGCTGACTGCATGGACAGCTGGCCACCCGAGGGTGGGTATGGTGGGCAGATTTCAATGGCTCTCACCTGGTGGGGACAGGCACCTCGGTCACTCCTCCCAGCATGGCTGACTGGATGAGACGCACGAAGGCAATGAATGGCTGGTCCAGGAAGTCCACCTCGCCCACGAGCACATTGGAGGCTTCTGAATCCTTGGGGATCTTCTTCATAAATTTGTTTTTCCGCTGGTCAGTGAGGGGGACAAGAGATGCCCATGGATACTCAGGTGCAGTGGTTTCGGCTCTCACTCAGCCCGTTCAGACTACTGTGGAGCCCTAACCTTACAAAATTCTCCCAGCGTTTCTCAAGAGACTGAAGGAAATAAGCCGACACTCTCCCACAATCTGCAGATGAGGAGACTCAAAGTTGGTTAACCCCAGGGACCAATTAAGCCTTTCGTAGATGGGAAGGAACAGGCAATGACTTGACCCCCTAAGATGTTCCATGATGGGCAAAAACCTTGTTCTACTGAAGTGTGAGTGGAGGGGTCAGAATAGAAAGTCAGGGCTTGCTGGACATCAGGTCTCTTCCCCCAGCAGCAGCTCAAGCAGATGGGAGTCTCGGCCCTTACGCTCCAGCTACCCAGCCCTCCCTCTCTGCCTTTACCCTGGATGGCCGTGGGAGGAATGAGACCATCCTGATGGCCAGGGTGGACACACTTTGTTTTTTCTTTACCACCAGCTTCCTGGCTGACAGGAACCCCTGGACCTGTGGGTCCAAGCCTGTGAGAGACTTCTGTGCCCCCAAGTCACCCCTAGAGGACCTCCCAGGAAACTCATAGCTTCTGAGCCTTTCCCACTGAGATTATCGAAGTACCCTCTATCCAGTCCCTCTGGCTGGTGTCTAGTCAGGGCAGGAAGGTCAAATGGGAAGAGTGAGTGGGGTTCAATGTGAGAGGTGCTGGAGACAAGCCCTCTGCCCCGAATCAGCCCCACTCTCTGCGGTCATGACTTTCATCCTATGGATAAGATGCCGACTCCTCCGGAGCCCTCTCTTATGATGAAAATGCCCAGGGGTGGTCACATATGCACTCTTCTTAGTCTTTAACATCTTACGGTACATTGGTTTTTCAGATCACTTTCCCTCTGGGCAGCAAGGGGATAGGCAAGAGACAGAGATAGTTTCATAGAGAGAGGTGGGGAAGGAGCGTTTGGGGAGGACCGGGCTGGTGGCAGTCCACAGTGGCCAACGAAGGAAGAAAGGGCCCAGGAGGTGGAGGCAAGTGGTACAGAGAGATTCTGCGGACGCCACAATTTTGCCACCTAGTCCCCCTTGATGGGAGTCTCTCTTGTGGGCACAGAAATGTTTGTTTCTCATAAGTTCAGTGAAGATAGTTTCCTTCTATCCCTGGAGAGGGGTCAGTTATGGGCATGGGCATGGCCAACAGGTCTTGCCCCTTTGGGCCTACAGCCATTTCCTGATTTGACTCGTGGGGGACGAGATACATACTGGGCTGGGGACCTACCAGCACTAGAAAAGGCTTGTGAGCAAGGGCTGCACCCTTATAATCTTTTAAATCCCTTAAAAAACATAAAACTCTCCACAACCACCTGGGCAACAGCCCCAAGGACCCTAACGCAGTGAGAATAAGCAACAGCAGGAGTTAATGGGAAGGCCAGAATCCTCACAACTCAGAAAGTCCCTTTGTCCCAGGAGCAGTTAGCTGGTTCATAAGCAGGTTCTTCAGGATGGAGTTCTGGGTGTGCCAGGGCAGCCACTGTCTCCTTGACAACTCCATGTCCCTGGGCATGAGGCAGGGAGCAGGTGGGTGGCTAGGCCAGAGTTGTGGCATCCCAGAAATGGGCCATGCTGGTGTTCTGGCCACCCTGGCTTGGTGATGGTCTGGCCACGGGCTTGTCTAACCAGGGTCCTGCTGACCCCACTGCCTGAAGCCAGGGGACTCTGGTCCAGCTCTGCTGAGTCACTGCACACAGCGATGCTGTTTGAATCCACACACTGCTCACTGGGAACTCACTGGAACTCAGGGCCGTGGTGAAGAAAGTTGCACCTAAAGAACTGCCAGTGCTGCTGCAGATACTGAGAAGCAGCATCACACAACCAGTTAGGAGAGTTGGAGGCTGGTGCCCGGTGTTGTGTTCCAATCCCTAAATCAAAGGCAGCATTGCCGGGGGAAAGTAGCAGATAGTATTCTTCTTACCACATAGGTAATGAAAAATAGGTTGTGAAAAACTCTTACTAGGCAGTGCTTCCTTATAAGGACTCCACTCTCTGTGCGCATGACTATAGTAAAGTGGGGTTCTTCTCTAAATAAGATTCCAGAATACTCGTTCCTAAGTCACTCCCAAATTAAGGACTCTAGAGTCACACTGCCTGGATCAAATCATGGGTATGCCACCTTTCAGCTGCATGAACTTAGGCACGTTATTTAACTGCTTTTATGTTCTCATCTGTAGAGTGAAGATGATATAGTACCTTCATGACGCACAGAAAACGCACCGCACAATGTAGTGCATGCAATGTGTGGACCTCAAATGTTGGTTGATGCTGTTATTATTGTTATTTTGTTATTTTGGCCACCAAAGGGCCCTGGAGACACTGACATGAGGCAATACTCTTGTTTTGCCTTCCACCAAACTTGGGACTGCCTTGGAGGCCTGGAGGTCACCCAAGCTCCTGAGGAGTAGCTGCCAAAGTTCAGGTTTCCCTCATCACCTTCCTTCCCACTCCTGGGGGCACAGGCAAGGAGACCTTGGGACCTTCTGCCCCTGAGATATGAATGTTTGGAATTGAGGGAAGCCTCCTCTGGGCTTCCCTCGGGGGCACAGTCATGGGGGTCCTGGGCTGTGGGCTTAGAACTTGGACTCAACTTGTCTGCGGGATTCTGATCTCATCAAGGAAGTTTCAGCCAAGCTGGTGGGAGTCAAGAACTGACTTTATCTAGCACTAGCCAAGGAGAAGATACACTATTGGGCAGTCCAGTTGATTCACTATCATTATTGTCCCCACAGGGAGGCCCCACTGCTTTTCTCTACCAGCCCAAGCCCCCACTTCATCCTTAAAAGTGTTTGTGTGTCATGGACGAGGTGAAATTCTGTGTGGCGGTCTTCTCTCTCCAATAAACCCCAAGGTCAGGGATAGCTGGCCTCTCATCTGATCACACTTCTCTGTCCCCTACTCCTTCCAGGGCCTGGCACAGAGCCAGCACCCAAGTGTTGGACTGGGCTGAGTCACCAAGGCAACCCAGAGCCCCACCCGCATCCTTCCTGGGGACTCCCACTTTTTCACGGGAGTAGAGTTTTGCCCGTAGGGGCTCCCTACCCCTGAAACCAAAGACTTCTTCCTGCCCTGGCCCTCCACGGCAGCCAAGTGCAGGGGCTTTACTACCTGGTCTGTATTTGGGGTGACAGAAATATCATTCATGCTTCTGCTCTGGGCGTGACCTAGGAGAAAAGGAAAAGACGGTCCATCAGGGGCAGACAGGTTCTCGCAGGCCCTTTTCTCTTGGTCTCTACACAGGCTTTTCCCATCTTCACAGCCAAAGTAAAGCCCCCTCCCCTAATCCTGCAGCCCCTTTCAGCAAGCATTCTCTCTCTTTTCTTCTTTTCAATGGCAGCTTTCTTAAAAGAATTGCTGGGCCCCAGGTTCTACTGCGTCCTTCTCACTCCTCAGTGTGCTACGCCCTGGTCCCAGCCCTCCGCCCTGCCTTCTTGGGCAGAGACTAAGATGCTGCTCTGCGCCAGGCCCTGAGGTGGGGAGGGACACAGACACCCTAATGGGTAACGAGCCAGGCGTCACTAAGCTTGAGCCTTGTTGCAGAGAAAAGAGCAGTTTCACCTCTGTCCTCCATGACCCATGGGAGTCTTTAAAGATGGCTGGGGTTTTGGGCCAGCAGAGGGAAGGAAGGTGGGGCTCCCCATGGCAAGAACAGTGGTGGTGAACTATTCAAACAGCTCCTTCCTCCATTAAGGCAGGAGAAGTTCAGCTCTCATTTCCCACCAGCAGCCACATCCAGTGGGCCCTCTCAGGCTTTCTGTGGTCTGTGGTGTCCCCGCACTTCCAGACTCTGCTTTCCCTTGGCTCCCCTCTCTTATTTCCATCCAGGATCCTCTCTTGCTGGGCTCTCCTCAGGGCCTTGCTTTGCACTCAAACCCTCCAGAGGCCTCACCCCCGTCCTCCTCGGTCAGTCCCATCCCCTCCTGTTTCATCCCCATCCACATTTGTGCTGGGGATGCCCAGGTTGGGTCTCCAGTCCAGATCTGTCCTGAGCTCCAGATTCCTCTGAGCAGCCTGACCTGGCAACTCAGACTCAACACACCTGAAACGAAACTCGTTGTCTTCCATCAAATGTCTCCCCGCATAGACCCCACACCGCCAGTGCTTCCTCCCCCTTGTCCACTGGCAATCAAAGCAGACCAGGAGCCAGCCTCGACGCCTCCCTCTTCCTCATTTCCCACTTCCCACCAGTTGCTGCAGCCCAGCGGGGTCCTCCTCTCTGTTCTTGCTCTCACTGCCCGAACACGGCCCCCATCTCTTGCTCCCAATAGTTCAGCCCCTTCTAGTTTATTTCTCAAGTAAAAATCTGACCATGATACGTCCCTGCATAAAACTTCTCAGGAGTCCCCATTACCCTCAGAATACAGGCTGGGGCCTTTTGCAGGATTCATAGGCCCCTT